GATAATAGAATTGTTCCAAGCTCATTCTGATCTTACTGTTCTCACATTCACTAACAAAGGTACACAGGACATCAATAGCCTAGTTGTGGCAAATTTTTTCAAAATTGCAACATCAATTGCAACACTGAAATTTGATGATGGTCATGAAGGAATAGATACAAACATATATTTTGGTATGCGTATAGTCATCACTCAGAACAGAGATAAACAAAACAATGTAATAAATGGCCAAATTGCAACATTGCACAATATGCATAATAGAACTATAATTGCTAAGTTACCATGTGGTAAACTCGTTCCAATATATCCTGTGTCAAAGAAATTCGAAAATAAAACTGTCACTTTGTACCCAGTCTGTTTAGCATATGCCACTACAATTTGCAAAGCACAGGGACAAACGATACAAAAAGCTGCACTTTGGTTTGATAGTGACAATATTCCACCAGGATCTGCATATGTTGCTTTGTCCCGAGTGAAGAAACAAGCAAACATTTACTTTATCACGCCATTGAAGCCAATTTTTTTTAAGGCAATAAAATATTAAACTTAAATTAGAGTCTCTACAAATCTAGCAATGCCATCTGATTTACTCAACAGAAAATTGTCCCACTCTGTTCATATATGAGTGTATATTACCCCTTATTATTCTCTAGAACTCTCGACATTATTTTAATTCAGAAACACATTTGTTGTATAGATGTATACAGCAAAGGCAAAACGATCATCAACTACTGCATCTCCCGGTGGAACTCAATTTTTTAGCCACTTTTCATCTAACTATCTTCGACCCTATGGTCTTGCAAACCCAGAACCTGACCACAAACTGCTGCAAGAGAGGACAAATCCCATCAACTGTGAGTGGTACAAACGCCTCAAAATCGCGATGAGTGAATTTGCGGAAACGTTTGTAGAGAATATGTCCTTTCTTGCGGCCATTCCTCAAGAATAAAAAATTCAAGGAGATGAAAGACAAGTGCCAGCCATGCCTTGATGCACTGTAAAAACTACACAAAAAACCCTGACGCTGCACCCGATAAAGACCATTTTCGAGCTGTTCTTGAAAGCTTTTATGACGACTCAAATCCCATCAATGACACTATGGGACAGCTGTTTGAAATTGGTGGGAGCATGTTTATCATGGCAATCCAATATATTATGGCGAGGGATTTAATGTGTAACCCCGAGGTATACGCCGACAGAATGGTTGGTACAGACCAAATCATAAAGCAATTTCAGAAGGCACTATCTGTTCCTGCGCTGCTCGAAACGCTTTCGTCTGCGTGCCTTCCACGATCTCTCTAACGAGAAAAAAGCACAAGTCGACCAAATCGTAAATTGCTTGATCAGCTTCGAAAAGCATCCCAGGGAGACAATCAGCCTGAATCATCCTCGAACATATCGCAAGCAACATCGAAAGCTAACTCCCGTCTCAAATCGCTAAAGAAAGTGATAGCACAGTCTTCTGATGATAGCAGTGATAACTCATCTTCATCCTCAACCTCATCTCAACACCCTGTACCCAAAAGTACAGTAAAGAGAAAACTGCAAGAACCACCAGTGCCTCAGAAACCTGCGAAGTCTTTAAAGCAAGCACATGAAAAATCTGCAAGTACGAGTTCAAGCCAGGAACAAAAGAAGAAAAATGAAAAGAAACGTCAGAAGAAAGACAAAAAGTGACAATAGTCAAAGAACTTTGTACTTCTTAACAAGTTTACTATTCGTTCATGTTTCGCGTTAAAAACTGTGACAGGCACACAAAGTTTTAAAAAAACAATCCAAGTAATTTTCGTTAAGTTATCTTTTGTCCATGAAAAATTCGACAAAAATTACAAATAATAAACGATAAAGACAATTGTATACATTGCCATTAATTATCTTGCAATTATGTTTTTATAAGAGGATGTTCAACCTAACGTTAAATATCCATGTATTACAAGTTGCCTTTGTTCGTTTGCCAAAAATACGCTTGGCCGTATTATTAACTGAAAGCAGGGTGGGAGGGGGGTGTACCATCGTAAGCATAATAATAAAGCAGAGTTATTCCATCTTTCCGTTAGGATTAACTTAAAATCGAATCTCCTTCTTTATAAAATTTTTTCAAAATTTTCTTCATTTATGGACTTTATGTCATAATATATGGTAACTTTTCTGAATTTTTGCAACACCCTATTTTGAATACATAAATTGAAAGAGGGCAATCGAAAGTTTATTTTGTGTGTAATATTAGAAATTGCATTAGGCAGAACTTTTTTTATTTGAGTTTGAAATTTGAAATTTACTATAAATTGTATTACGAAAAAAAACTTCAAATGTAATTTTGTATCTGAGCCGAGAAAAGACGTACGTCTTTGAAACTTGGCAGTTTATTTGCGTTCCTTCATTGAAGATTGTGTGCAAAATTACAACTCTTCAAATTGACAGGGGGGGAAAATAGCTTTCCGCCATATTGGATTTGACCTTGGTCTGACTTTCGCTAATTAAAAAGTCAATTAGTGTTCATTGTTGAAAAAAATCATCATTATAGCTTTTTTAAATCCCATTGCATTAAAACGAAATATTACAGCGCCTTCAATTGCTTGTTACCTTTTGTAATAGCCTGACAATCCATATGAGTCAATATATTGCAAAATCCTTTCAGGAATAAATTTGTTTTAACAACCTAAAGTCTGATACATTTGATCTCCAATGTTGAAACTGAACAAAAACCTTACTAATAGCATGAGAAAACTTTCCTAGACATTTCAGACTTGTAGCATTAAATGTAATGCCAATATTTCAAAAGTTACACCTGTTAATATACGGCTAATATAAGCAAAATAGCACTCAGTTTTAGGAACCTAAAATCTGATATATTTACTCTCCAATGTTGAAACTAGACAAAAAGCTTACAAATAGCATAAGAAAACTTTCCTAGACATTTCAGACTTGTAGCATTAAATGTAATGCCAATATTTCAAAAGTTACACCTGTTAATATACGGCTAATAAGAGCAATATAGCACTCAGTTTTAAGAACCTAAAATCTGATATATTTCATCTCCGATGTTGCAACTGGGTAAAAACCTTACAAATAGCATGAGAAAACTTTGTTAGACATTTCAGACTTGTAGCATTAATTAATATAAAAAGATTCCAAAAGTTACACCTGTTAATATACGGCAAATAAGAGCAATATAGCACTCAGTTTTAAGAACCTAAAATCTGATATATTTCATCTCCAATGTTGAAACTGGCCAAAAACATTACAAATAGCATGAGAAAACTTTCCTAGACATTTCAGACTTGTAGCATTAAATGTAATGCCAATATTTCAAAAGTTACACCTGTTAATATACGGCTAATATAAGCAATATAGCACTCAGTTTTAGGAACCTAAAATCTGATATATTTACTCTCCAATGTTGAAACTAGACAAAAAGCTTACAAATAGCATAAGAAAACTTTCCTCGACATTTCAGACTTGTAGCATTAAATGTAATGCCAATATTTCAAAAGTTACACCTGTTAATATACGGCTAATAAGAGCAATATAGCACTCAGTTTTAAGAACCTAAAATCTGATATATTTCATCTCCAATGTTGCAACTGGGTAAAAACCTTACAAATAGCATGAGAAAACTTTGTTAGACATTTCAGACTTGTAGCATTAATTAATATAAAAATATTCCAAAAGTTACACCTGTTAATATACGGCTAATAAGAGCAATATAGCACTCAGTTTTAAGAACTTAAAATCTGATATATTTGATCTCCAATGTTGAAACTGGGCAAAAACCTTACAAATAGCATGAGAAAACTTTCCTAGACATTTCAGACTTGTAGCATTAAATGTAATGCCAATATTTCAAAAGTTACACCTGTTAATATACGGCTAATATAAGCAATATAGCACTCAGTTTTAGGAACCTAAAATCTGATATATTTATTCTCCAATGTTGAAACTAAACAAAAAGCTTACAAATAGCATAAGAAAACTTTCCTAGACATTTCAGACTTGTAGCATTAAATGTAATGCCAATATTTCAAAAGTTACACCTGTTAATATACGGCTAATAAGAGCAATATAGCACTCAGTTTTAAGATACTAAAATCTGATATATTTCATCTCCAATGTTGAAACTGGGTAAAAACCTTACAAATAGCATGAGAAAACTTTGTTAGACATTTCAGACTTGCAGCATTTAATAATATAACAATATTCCAAAAGTTACACCTGTTAATATACGGCTAATAAGAGCAATATAGCACTCAGTTTTAAGAACCTAAAATCTGATATATTTCATCTCCAATGTTGAAACTGGGCAAAAACCTTACAAATGGCATGAGAAACCTTTCTTAGACATTTCAGACTTGCAGTCTTTAACATAGTGTTAATATTTCAAAAGTAACATCTGTTTTAAACGTGTAAATGCAGTAAGCCAGTACTCAGTTTTAAGGGGGTAAAATTTGAAATACTCGAACTCCACACTTGAAACTACACAGAAACTCTTGGAATAGGATACCAAACCCTCGCCGTTGATTCCATGATTGTAGGTTTAAACGCATTGGGAAAATGTCAAAAGTTTCCTCTGTCAATATATGTCTCACGACAAGAAGATATGAATCAGTTTTAACATGTTTATTTTAGTCTATTTTAAAAAGATTTTATATAGTAAATGAGTCAAAGAATTTCAAAAATATGATAATAAGCACGCCTTAAACATTTCACTGTTGTACAACTTAAAATAGTGGCTAATATTTTAAACTTATATATGTGAATGTTTCATTCAAATCAAAACACTATCAATCGATTTCAACAGATTTAAAATCAATAAAATGTCAGTTTAAATTATTAAAATTACATATTTTCAGCACCGGTTTTAGAAATTTAGTGTTATTTTTCCGTAAATTGAAGTTAATTTTCACATTACAAAAATGGTTTAAATTTGAAATTAAATTTTGGCGGCCATATTGTTACTTCGGCCTTCTTCTCCAAATCAGTTTGTTATTGTTTATAATACACGCAAAGGAGTTCTCAAAGAAAACGCATTTTTAAAAGCAAAAAACAGGGAAAGAAAGGTCAGTTTTCTTGTCATTTACCTTCATTATACTTTTAGAAGTTATTAGCAATCACATATCTGGCAAAAATATAAGATTTAGTGTGAAATTTACTTCGGTTTATTGTGCGATTTGCAACATCGACGAACCGCGATTTCCGACATTCATAAACCGCATATATAAAGCGCTTTGTGTACGAAAAATTTGCGATAATAGCTGCGAAATATTACAGCTACATATACTAAACAGTTATTAGTTTCTGCTGCACGTATTCTCGATCATTATTACACAATTTAGTTGCTAATCGAAAGAGTGTTTTAAAGTTATCGGTGCTGCTTTGTTTAAGCAGAATTCATTTGCTTTTGCACCTAATAAAAGGGTAAAGATTCGCATAATTACATATTGATTAGCATTGGGTTGGTTCATATTTAAATATATTTCTTTCATATAAATATTCGGAAGGAATATTTGTCATCTAACACAATTGTCAAGAAAAAGTTATTACACTTTGAACTTCGCCGGCCATATTGTTACTTCGCCATTCTTTCTCGATCTGATTTGTTTTTCATTTCTGTGAGAGGGGCAGATGTAAATAGGCATTATTTTAGACAATTTATCGCGCTAGTTTTGTGCATTGAAATACTAGCTATACAAGGCTGTTACTTCACTCTCTTAATCTATATTTCTTCCTTGAAATCCGGGGTTAATTTTTTTACTGGCTTCTTTGTTTGCAAGAAAAAGTCGCTGAAACATTTGTGAGCCCGAGCATTGCGTATACTCTTATATACTGCTATACATTGGCATATACTCAAGGTAACTCGAGAGAAACGCTGTACATACACACGTCCCGTATTTCAGCATATTTGTTTCTATATATCAAACACTAAGCAAGAGAAATTGTTGGCAGCATTAGGCATTGCGTTTGTATTTTTGTCCTCACTAACTAATCATCATGTCAGGCTCCTGGTCAAATGAACAGGCAGCTTTGTTTTGGCAACAACGGAAAATATATCAAATTTTTAATGATGAGGAGCAAAACATGAAGGTAGCAGCATACAACAACGATGTAGACAAACGCATACTAAAAGAACGCGATGCAAAAGCAGAGTATCTCTCTAAAAGAACATTTCCACCCATGGACCAAAATATTGGTGGTGTTAATCAAGTTAGGGATATTTCTAGTGATATACAATTTTGGGCAAACTATTCTGCATGGACATTTTGTGAGAAGTGCAATTCGGTGTCAACCAAAATCTTGCCCTATAATTTTTCAAACCGTCACAAAAACAAAGTAACAAAATCGTGTTCTTGTTCACAACAACGGTATGTAATACCAAGGTTTGCGGACATACCAAAGTGCCTTTTAAACTTGACACTTGAAGACGTAAACATCTTGAGACCATTCTATTTGTTTCTGGAGAATTACGAACGAAAGAGCCATGGGTATCAAGTTAAATGTTCTCCCTTAAAATTACGAATATCTCCACAGTCTGTTAGAGAGAAAATAGATGCTCTAGCTGATCTAACTCAAAAGATGCGTTGCGAAAATGCATACAATCACCTCATGACAACAATCTCCTCAAGATATTCACACTTTGTACATTACAGAGAAACAATAATAGCACAAGGTACCGACTTGAACTTATTTAACTTCAAAGACACACAGGGTATAGAGTGTGCATTATGGCCAAACCTGTATCCAAAGACTTCTTGGTGTGAAAGCATTCTCTCTGATAGTGGGTCAAGGCTCAGCAGCAAGGTGTCTTTTAATGCTAAACTGAATTCTGAAATTATAGATTATGCATTGCATTTTGAACTGCTTCAGTTCCACTATGATCGATGGTTGTACAAAACAGTTAGTGGTGCAATCAACACTGCACGTCTCCGAAACTGTTCACCAGCACGTGCACTTGATACAAAAACATTTTCAGCAACATACTGGCAATGGCAACACCGCTACGTTTTAGATGCAGTAGACCAGTTTGGTTTGCCTGATGTCTTCATTACGTTAAGTCCATATGAATGGACATTCCCTTTTCCAAAATGGCTCCAAGACGTTCGGCAAATGACAGGAAGAGGGCCTACAGAATTAGCTGGTCATGAAACAGCTCATATTGCACATGTGCTTGCACAAATTGTGCGAGGATATCTTTGCGGAAGCAATTCTAATAAATGGTCAAAGCATATCTTCAGTTATAACCGAATTTCAAAACACATAAATGTTAAAACATTTTTCTATAGATTTGAATTTCAGAAAAGAGGCACTTTGCATTTACACTTATTAGTCTGGCTAAAAGACATAACAAAGATTGCTCATCAGTTCATCAGAGCTGATATTCCAGAAGAAAATGCAGACCTTTCATACCTAGTAAGCAAGTACCAACCCTCTGACAAACCTTCAAATTCTTTGAACCTCCAAGATCATGATACGTTTTTTCAATGCAAAAACAATAAGGAAATTCTTCATTTAAAGCATCCTTCAGATGCATTTGCATTAAACTTAAGAGCATACATCTCTACAGTTCTACCAGCCTTACATTGCTCCATGGATTTTCAAACGACTGATGGCAGAGCCATGTTGTTAAAATATGTCACATCCTATGTAACTAAAAATCAGGATGGTATAGATACAGATAGCTTATATTCCTACCATGTTACTGGCGGACAGGCAGCAATCCGTTATGTAATGGATATTGCCCCTGCCGAACCAGAGATGTGGTTATCTCTCTCATCAACTAAAATATCTTGGTCATCAAGTAGAACTAAACGCTATATTGTCCCATCAACTGACAAGGCAGACGATGACAAAACGGCGGAAAAGTACCGAAATCGGCCTGAAAACATGACCGATCTTTCGTTTTTATTATGGCTGCGAATGACTGACCATGCTAAGCAGGTACCAAAACCTTACAAAAAAGGAAACACTCTTGTCGGATTAAAAACTGTTTCTTTCTTTAACAAAGAGTTTTTTTTCCAATATGTTCTCATGCATGTCCCACACAGATCTGTTAATCAACTTAGACATCCAAATCATGAGAAAATGCCACATGGTTTGCAGTGGTATTCCGCTGCAATACATCATTCTGCAAATATTTGGCAAAATGACGACAACATTTGCCAGTTTCTCAATAATCAAGGTCATCGTGACACATATATAACAACGTGCTTGGCATATGTTCACACTTTACGTGACATGCTTTTTCTTTGGCAAACCCAAATAATTTCTGCAGATGCCTTTGATATAAATTATGTCAATCAAGCACACGAATTCGCATTAGACAGTCAGCAAGCAACAATTCAAAACCATGTCTTGAGTGCTGTCAACAAACGTTCACATCACTATTCTTCATTCGCTCGTGTCCATTGTTTCGGTTCAGAATCTGATTCAGATGACGTCAATTTGGCCCATGAAAATTTCCAACATGGACAATGTTATGCTCCCGCTATGCAACAGTTAGATGTTGTGTGGAGCAAACCAATCCTGGTTACAGGTCAAGGTGGCTGTGGAAAATCATATGTCATTCGATCAATTGTGCATCAACTAATTCAACTTGATGCGTCAGTATTACTTTCACTTCCAACAGGATTTCTTGCATCATCTTTTCGAGCGACACTTCCAGAACACATCACTTGTGAAACTGTACATGCCTCTTTCAAATTTCCTGTTGAAAACAGCCAACCTCCAAACATAAACTGGCAGCTTTCCAACTATGACGTTATTATCATTGATGAGATATCCATGGTTCCCAACATTATCTTCCAACACATACTGAAAACGCTTAATGTTCTTCTATTTCGTCCTGTGCTCATGATTTGCGGAGATGCCGGTCAACAGCAACCGTTTTGTCACAACAATGGCAAAATAATGCAAATAAGTAGCCCTTTTGATGACACAACATTTTTACACAACACTTATCACTACAAGTTAACAAGCCAGCACCGATTTTCCGATCAAAATTATCACTCTTTTCTTGAAACTGTTCGGAAATGGGTTCCAACCCAGGAATTACTAAACGAAATACAAGATGGTTGCGTTATAAGTGAAAACAATACTGTCACAGAAAAAGACATTGTGCATGCTTACTTTACAAACCCTGAAAACACAGTTCTTACTTTCACAAAGAATGCAGCAAACCATGTAAATAGAACAATTGTTAATGCTTTATTTAGTGCACACGAACCATTGCTATGTGCACAACTTGACTGCGACCTTGCACCAATGCTGATTTACAGAGGGATGCGAATAATAATAACTCAAAACAGAGACAAACTAAATGGCGTTGTGAACGGGCAATCCGCTACCATCAACACAGTTCAAAATAAAACTGTATTTGTGAAGTTCAATAATGATAAAGTTGTTCCCATTTACCAAGTTACACTGAAAAAAAATGACAAAAATATTACAGTTTATCCGATGGTACCAGGTTATGCAACAACAATATGTAAAGCACAAGGACAAACCTTGAAAAAAGTAATTGTATGGCTTGACATTGACAAGATACCTCCTGGGACGGCATACGTTGAATTATCACGAGTGAGAAGCAGAAATGACATCTCATTCCTAACACCAATGAGACCAGAGCATTTCACACCCGTTTCTAGGCGAAGTCACATACTTTAGATCTCTCCTACAAATCATGCCACTTTAACAAACTATTCTATTAATGCTTATCATCCAATATTTTTTCCAAAAATCATTTTTAGAACATGAGTCAAGAGAGCAAGTCACCTCAAAACCCTAAAGGTGTCCAATTTTTCCATCACTTTCCCAAAAATTTTCTAAAACCGTATGGCTTAGCTGAGGAAAATATACCAGAACGTGATATATTCAAACGTACTGGACCTTTAAACTGTGAATGGCTCACACGTCCAAAAGTGGGACTCAGCGAATTCGCAGACACCATTGGCAAGAATTTCTCCTTCCTCACAGAAAGCGATTCCCAGTTCATACGGAAATCCAAATTTGCACCAATTGAGGAAAAGATGCGAACATTTCTAAGCCTCCTTGAAAAGTTCAATGTCCTGAAGACTACCGAAAATCCTTCCGGGGAAGATATAAAGGATTTCTTGAAATTCATGCTTCAAGAGGATGATCAAATCGATCAATTCTTCACCGAAATGTTCCAACTTGGTGGAGCCATGTACCTATTGGGGTCACACTATACTGTCATCAAGACGTTGCTTTCTAATCCTGATTGGACAGCTGAAAAAAACGTTGGTACTTCAGCTGAAGTGCGCAACTTTAAAGCCAATCCAACCATCAAGGGGCTAAAGACCTACCTCACCAATTCATGTTCATCAAGAACAAAACATCCCACATCGGAAGCCGTGAAGGGAACAAAAAGAAATCTGGCCAAGCTTTTTGATTCAGATGATGAAGATAATGATATTGCTGCTCGCGAACCCTCAAATGTCTCTGGCCAATCAACACCAACAACAAAACAGCACACTCCAACAAAAGACAAGAGAAAGAAGAGAAAACAAAAATAAACACCATAACAAAAACAACGTTGTTTTCAATTATATAAAAGAGAATATTCTGTTTGAGAATTAAGCAGTTTCTTAATGTTACATGGGGTTAAAAAAACTTTAAAAAACAAAAAATAGAAAATGGAATAAATTGTAAAAGAGACAAGATCAAGGTACGAACATATTTATTGTATCCTTGACATCTGTATTGTATACTCGTTGATATTAGAATGGTTTATTGTTAACATAGTGTAAAAAAAAGATATTAAAAACATATAAAAAAAGAAAGTTTTGTTCAAAAAAAAAAGTTACATATTTTTATGTCAAACAACATCTCAAACCAAAACGCTTGAAAAGACCATATAAAAGTATCATGTGTGTGTAGTAGCTCATTTATTTACCAACACTTCCTATTGCTTATGTTTACTTAATTTGCAAAATAGTTTATTGTTATTTAAACGATAAAAATGTATATATAAAATTGTATAATAGAGAGCAGATAAAAAAAATAAAATTTGAAAAAAAATTCAAATGCATTTCAATAATGCATTACAATTAGAAAACATTTTGGCTAGGGAAAATCGTAAACACATCACTCACCGTCTTATAAGAAGACAGGGTAATATTGAAATTAGCAGAAAGTATTAAAGAGGGAATATCTTGCTTATATAATATGGCAGCAGAAAAATTAATTAGTGTACATTAAAAGAAGAGGATGTTTTTTCAATATGGCACACCTAGCTGTATGATGCTCTCAAAAACCTCCTGTTGTGTCGAAAAATGCAGGGTGGGAGGGTTTGGGTAGAAAACGTTGCTTGTTATCAATCCAGAGTTCTCCCTGTGGTAACTTTTCTGACACCCCTAGCTTAAAACTCGTAAAGACTAAGGGATCGATAGGCCATGCTTTCACAGTTTGTATTCATACTGAAAATCAAAATCAAGTGAGCTTTTGCCCTTTTCCTCTACATGAGATTTTCGTTCTCATTGAGCTCACCTTAGGACACCTGCATTATCATTTGACAGTGTCTTCGGCTCGGATCGACCGGCAGAAGAGCGATCTTAACCCTTTAGTGCACGAGGCATTTCCGCTGCATTGATTTTAATGAAAATTAGTGAAAGTGCTACCTTAGCAACTAATTTTTGAATAGTAATTTTTTTTTTGAAAAAAAAGTTAATCAGAAGGAGAAAATTTTTGTCCAGTGCACTGGACAACGTGCATGTCGGGAATAAACTTTTAAAAAAACATTGAACAATATCTAAAAAAATTTATTTATACAGTAAAGTTTTTTGCCCTACCAAGTTTGCTAGCTATTTTTTACAACCCATAAAAGTCATTTTCCATGAAAATTTAAAAAGCAAGTGTTCTTAGTGACACATAAATACACATTGCATTTGCTGCACATAAACATTGTTTTCTTTTTGCAACCGTCCATTTTGCATCTTTGTGCATTTGGTATGTCTATGAGAATAGGCCAATGGTCATACTTATCAAATCTCACAGACTCAGGAATGCTTGAGGCTCTCATTCTCTTCTTTGGTGATGGTGGTGGTTCGGGCAGATCTTCATCCGACTCCTCACTTCTTGGCTTTCCAACCATGAGGGTGACACAAACTTCAGTGAGGAAATCTAAATAGCTTTTAGTTCCTCCAATCTCTTGGTAAATTATCCATGCATTCACAGCACATTGACTAATCATGTGCAATGCAATTCTCTGGTACCACTTTCGACATCTATATTTTGTGCGATACAGGGCCAGCATCATATCGGACTTGTCTACACCTCCTATGTAGTTGTTATACAACTGAACCAAAGCAGGTCGTTTGACATTTACATTTGCCTTCTCCTTGCGGACATACCGGGTGCATTCTCCCTCTGGATCTCGTTACGACCACTGATCTTTCCTTATTTACATTTTGTTCTGAAGAACCTCTGCCACTTTTCTTCAGCTGGCTTTCGCTAGGCAACGGGCATTTTCTAGACCTATTACAATTCAATGTAGCTAAAGCCCAAAAACCTTTAGTACCTAAATATGCAATTAGCTCTGGGCAAGAAAAAAAATTATCAAAGAAAAGTTTGTGCTTATTTGCTTCAAGCCTCTGGATCAAACGCAAAACGACAAACCCACTTTCGCCACACTTTTCTGGTGCATCCCAGCCACTTGGAGGACCAGTTTTCCCTTTCTCTCCATCTATTTCTAAGGTATAGACATACCTTGAAACACCAGCAAGTGCCCACAACTTATACCCCCACTTTTTTGGTTTCTTTGGGAGATAGCGCTTTAGGCCACTGGCTCCTTTGAATGGGACAACCTGCTCATCGACTGCGACATAGGTTTCTGGCACGACAACTTTAAAGAACTTGTTTCTGATATAATCTACAAGGGGCTGGATCTTATAACACTTGTTGTAATCTTCACTGTTACTGGCAGGAATCAAATTATTGTCGTTATAATGAAGCAGTTGCATGATTTTGGCAAAACGATTCACTCCCATTGTGTTGGCAATAATGTCCACTCTAGTATTGTGCTGCCAATACATTCGTCTGTTGGGCAACTTCAAAATACCCATGTACAGAATGATTCAAAATGCTTTCTGAATATCTTCCACTTTGATTTCATTGACCTCATTAGCACTGCTGTTGTTTATCGACTGGGAGGTTGCGTATATTTGAGTTTGTTCTAGAATCATGTCCAGCAATTCACTTGTAACAAACAAATTGAAAAACTCTATTGGTGGGCTATTCTTTGAAAGACTATTTTCCAAATTTGGGTTGAGTTTTAGCTTTCTCTCATCAATGTTTGAATTTGGTGGAATTTTCCATGTTTGATTTCCCCTCAACAGCCATTCAAACTCTTGACGGCTAGACGATGGTGCTTGATCTAGAACTTCTTCTTGATCACTGCCACTTTCTTTGTAAGTAAATATAGAGAATAATTACTCAATTTTGAATGTTTATTATTTCTGACATATCTGGTTAAAAATAATAACAATCTAACGTAGGGTAGACTTACCCGAAGCAGAGGTTGTGGTATTTTCTTGAGACTCAATATCAAATGCCTTATCATCACTTTCTTCTGATGAAGCTTCACTAACATTTGCTGTTGGCAAAGTAGTAAAATTCACAAGAGGTCTTCGACTGCCATAAAATGAACTAAAGAATGTATACAAACAAACTAAGAAAGCGCAATAATGTTTCTTTCTTCAAGGGAAATAATCAGGTTATTAGCCATTATCATATTTCAGAATATAATAGTTACATAAATGCACAATGTCCAGTATATTGGACAATAACAAAATACGAATATTTTTCGTAAAATATTAGTCATTGGTACATGAAAATAACTTATAATCATTGTATAAACATAACGCTATGTATAACAACAGTTATTAGCTTATCTCCATACTTATTGTTGCCTTGAAAAGCGTTAAAATTGAAAAAACTCACCTCACTGATATCTTCGGCCTTCACGCCATCTTGGACTCCACAGAATAAAAGCTGACTCATCAATTAAATAATGACATAAGTGTGACATACCCACGCGTGGATAAAAACACGAATTGCATAATTTGAATGCTTGCCACGCATCTCCGTCAGCCCACGCCAAGTCCTCGCGCTTCAAGTCCCAGCCCGACAGACCCAACCCTTAGAGCCAATCCTTTTCCCGAAGTTACGGATCTATTTTGCCGACTTCCCTTACCTACATTGTAGAGGCTGCTTACCTTGGAGACCTGCTGCGGTTATGAGTACGACCAGACAAGAAAATGAACGACTCGCTCGGATTTTCAAGGGCCATCAAAAGCGCACCGGACCCCGAAAGAAGTTTGGGGCTTTACCGGACGTGAAACCCTATCTTCGGCTAAACAGATTTCAGGGTAACGTTGCCCGTTAAAAAAAAAAGAGAACTCTTCCTGGGGCTCTTGCCGACGTCTCCGAGTTCGGTTGCGTTGCCGCTTGTGCCAATAGGTGGCAGTATCCCTGTTCTGGTTCGGGAATATTAACCCGATTCCCTTTCGATAGGCGGTCTGCGAATGGGACGCTTTGTAACGGAATTTCCCTATCTCTTAGGATCGACTAACCCATGTCCAACTGCTGTTCACATGAAACCTTTCTCCACTTCAGTCTTCAAAGTTATCATTTGAATATTGCTACTACCACCAAGATCTGCACCGGCGGCCGTTTCACCCTGGCTCGCGCCAAAGGCTGCGTCACGACCGCCGCGCCCTCCTACTTGTCGAACGTTGCGCTGCTCCGACGGCGAGTATAGGTGCGACGCTCGAGCACCATCCATTTTCAGGGCTAGTTGATTCGGCAGGTGAGTTGTTACACACTCCTTAGCGGATTCCGACTTCCATGGCCACCGTCCTGCTGTCAAATCAACTAACACCTTTCGTGGGATCTGATGAGCGTCGACTTCGGAACCTTAACTCGGCCTTCGGTTCATCGCGCATCGCCAGTTCTGCTTACCAAAATGGCCCACTAAGAGCTCACATTCGAGTGTCCGGCTTCAATCAAGCAAGTCGGACTTCTTACCAATTTAAAGTTTGAGAATAGGTTAAGGTCATTTCGACCCTAAGACCTCTAATCATTCGCTTTACCTGATAAAACTGCATGTATGAACTCCAGCTATCCTGGGTTGCCAGCCGAGCACGCGCCGCAGACCACATTCGCCGACGAGCTATGCGAGCGCAAGTCTTAACAACCAGCTGCGAGGCCGGTCCACCTTCCTTGCGACCTTATCACCCCTCGACAGCTGATGCTCGCTCGCCAGTAGTGCGCCATCCGCGCACCCCGTCCGAGCGCGCCTCGTCCATGTGGATCGAGAGCTCGACCGTCGCTATGCGCAAGCGACTAAATCTGGCGGGGCGAATTGCTAACTCTATTCGCTTCCCTTTCAACGGTTTCACGTACTCTTTAACTCTCTTTTCAAAGTCCTTTTCATCTTTTCCTCACGGGACTTTTTCGCTATCGGTCTCGTGCCTGTATTTAGCTTTAGATGGAGTTTACCACCCGTTTTGGGTTGCATTCCCAAACAACCCGACTCTTCGAAAGCACATCGCGAGCACTCAAGCATTGCCACGTACGGGGTTGTCACCCTCTGTGACGTGCTGTTCCAAGCAACTTAGGCCGGCTCGTTGCGCCGGGAAAGTACTTCTCGAAACTACAATTCGCCGCTGCAACACAACAGAGATTTTCAAGTTGAGCTGTTCCCTCTTCATTCGCCATTACTGGGGGAATCCTTGTTAGTTTCTTTTCCTCCGCTTAGTAATATGCTTAAATTCAGCGGGTAATCTTGCCTGATCTGAGGTTAATGAATGAATGAATCAATGGAATATGTTGCGCGCGTTGGCCGACACGCGCGATGCGATGAGCTCCCTTGCTATAAAATAGTTTAGGCTTCGTTCGCACG